ACGACAGATTGAGGCGCGGTGCATTGGCGTGCACCTACTCAGCACGCTGCGCCGTGTCAAGGACGGCTCAGAGAAAACAACAAAAATAATAAAAATAATCTATATATAGTGACCTTTATTTACAATGTCAAACTCTGTGCCTGTGAATACAATTAAAAACACATGAAATGCAACATTAAAAGCTAAATGAAAAATGGACGACTGCGGACATGACCTGGGTCCCGAGGGTGAGGACCATGGTCAGGAGTGACAACTGCGGCATACATCTAGAGTCGAAAACTGCGTTCTTCTGCGCGCAGCCGTTCGCCTGGAGTACACCCGCCGTTCGCCTACACGAGCAGGCGCAAGGACTGCGTCGGCTGTGTCCCGAAAGAGGAGGCTGTCGTATACTTGCAAGTGTTCAACTCGGTGCCCCAGCAGCTTCTCCGAGGTGCGTGTGCTCGGCGCCGACCAACGCTAAGGAACGCGTCGCCTAGCGCGCGATACACGGAAATGTAAATACTCTTGAACCCTGCCGGGGTTTAGATTTCCGTGTATCGCGCGCTAGGCGACGCATTCCTTACAGCGTTGGTCGACGCCGAGCACACGCACGAGCGTTATTCCTATGGAGGACGTATGGTTATTCTCTCTGGTCGCCGTCTGCTCTCTGTTTTAGCTCAGGCAAGGGCATGCGCTGCTAAGTGCTGCGCCCAAGTCTTCCGGGGTGCTCCGAGGTGCACGCATTTATAAATGTGCACAGCAGAACATATCCCAGCCCCCTTTCCCGCCCCACTTCGCCGCTCTCTGTGGCCTGGTGACTTTTGTTACCTGATCCAGCCCTTCCCCCCCTTTCCCTTTGCACGCCCTCGCCCGTTGGCCAGGCGCATGGCCAGGCGGCGTCAGAAAGACAGAGGCCTGCTGACGTGCAGGAATGTTATCGTTTCGTGGGGTCGGCCCGTCGGCCCAAGGAGGAAGTATACTTCCTCCATGGGCCGGGACCGCAGCGGCAGCGCGATACTTGCAAGTGTTCAACTCCGCAGTCGTACACTTGCAAGTGTTCAACTCGGTGGGTATGCACTTGCAAGTGTACCGGGTGTAACTGAGAATGCGCAACAGTGTGGCGTTTTGGAATCTGTATATGCAGGTCAGTTGACAAATTCTGCCCTTCTCATTGGCTGCGGTTGCGGTTGGCGGGTAAAAAAATAGACTGCCGGCTATTCCTTCAACCGCAACCGCACCCGCCGGGCGCTGCGCTCTCATTGGTCGAGACGACAACCGCACCCGCACCCGCACCCGCCAACCGCCCCGAGAACCGCTAGTGTGATTCGGGCTTATGCTGAGTCTGTCCAACGAGCGCTTT